TTATTAAACCCCAGCTTTACAGAGACAGTAACAAGGCATTTGAAAGCACCAAGGTGAATGTAAAATATAGGTGTGCAACTGATGAAATTCCTCCTGGATTGTATAGCGGCCATAGGATGAAGACCCATGATTCCAGCCACCATAACAACTTAATTGAAATGATGTTGTTAGGAGGACTAGAGGCCTGACGCCACAGGCATTAAATAAAATTAAAGTGGGTTCCATCTTCCCTTAAGTTTGTTTTTTCCCGAAACTACTACATCTTGAATAACTATAAGTACATTTCTATCCTCTATACATATTTATGGACACCGCGGACTAAGTTGGATGTTTCGTTTATAAACCACTTGACATATTTGTGCTAAAAAAAAGTAAAAAATAATGTGTTAACAATTAAATAGTCACATTGTAATCTAGGTTGAAAAAAAGACTTAGGTCCATTTAGGCTCCATAAAGAGAAACCAAAGTGATTTAAAGGGACACTGTAGGCACCCAGACCACTTCAGCTCATTGAAGTGATCACTATATAAAGGGTGAGGTAAAGGCAAAAAATGCATACAGAATTCAAAGTATAAACAAAGAAAATTAGACCTGTGCTGCAGAAACTCCACACTGAAGTCCCAACGGTGTATATACAACAGCCAAAAAACATACAAGAGTCCTGCGCATCCAGTATAGGTGTGCACACCCAGGTGCTACCACAATTTATTTGAGGACAAAAATTGTAGTAGCGGGTGTGCACACCTATACTGGATGTGCAGGACTCTTGTTTTTTTTTTGGCTTATTGAAGTGCTATGGGTGCACTGTCCCTTTTGCACCTAGTGCTGCAATGTTAAACATTGCAGATCTAGAGAAACTGCAATAATTACAGCACTAAACCACTAGAGGGCTTCCTGGATTGAAACGGACGTTTGGTCCAGTAGCTAACAGTCCTTACACTGTTCATGAGGACCTCCAGCATTGATTCAGTGCTTTCCTATGGGGAGATCTAATTAGTGAGCAGCATTTGCCGCACATGCAGGGCCGGCCTTAGGGGTGTGCGAGGTGTGCGGCCGGTCAGGATAAAAAAAATAAAAAAAATTTGTTGTGGGGGCGGGGCTTACCGTGCGGCGGAGGCGAAGCTAAAAGTGCCGTGTAACTGCTACAGGGGAAGCAGGAAGGAGTCCCCGTTTTCCCCAGAGGTAACTGTGTGATTGACTGACTGTGTGTGTGACTGTCTGCCTGTGTGTGTGACTGTCTGCCTGTATGTGTGTGTGACTGTCTGCCTGTGTGTGTGAATGTCTGCCTGTGTATGTGACTGTCTGCCTGTGTGTTTGTGGCTGTCTGCCTGTGTGTGTGACTTTCTGCTCTTTTGTGTGTGTATGTGTGTGTGTGACTGTCTGTGTGTTTGACTGTCTGCCTGTGTGTGTGTGTGACTGTGTGTATGACTGTCTGCCTGTGTGTGTGTGCCTGCCTGTGTGTGTGTGTGACTGCCTATGTGTGGGCAGACTAGATGGGCCGAATGGTTCTTATCTGCCGTCACATTCTATGTTTCTATGTCTGCCTGTGTGTGTGTGTGGCTCTCTGCCTCTGTGTGTGTGGCTGTCTGCCTGTGTGTGTGTGTGGCTGTCTGCCTGTGTGTGGCTGCCTGTGACTGCCTGCCTGTGTGTGTGTATGTGGCTGTCTGCCTGTGTGTGCGTGACTGGCTATATGTGACTGTCTGGGCAGACTAGATTGGTCGAATTAAATTAAAGGAGCACTATAGGGTCAGGAATGCCGTCACATTCTATGTTTCTATGTCTGTGTATGTGTGTGGCTGTTTGTGTGTGACTGCCTGTGTGTGTGTGTGGCTGTCTGTGTGTATGTGTGACCAGGGCCGGTGCAAGGATTTTTTCCGCTCTAGGCAAAAGTTTCTGTGTGTCTAAGGGATGCATTGCTTGTGTATGTGTGTCTGTGTGTGTAATGCATTGTGTGTTTTTCTGTGTGCAAGGGGTGCATTGTGTGTGATTGTGTGTGTGATGGATGTCAATCTCCCCCCCCATCAATTTCCTTCTCCCTCCCCCCTCTCCTTTCTCCCCCCTCTCCAATTTCCTTCTCCCTCCTCTCAGTTTCCTTCTCCCCCCCCTCTCAGTTTCCTTCTTCTCCTCCCTCAATTTCCTTCTTCTCCCCCCCCTCTCCAATTTCCTTCTCCCCCCTCTCAGTTTCCTTCTCTCCCCCCTCCAATTTCCTTCCCCCCCTCTCCCAATTCCTTCTCCTCAATTTCTTACCCCCCCTCCAATTTTCCTTCTCCCCTCTCCAATTTTCTATTTCCCCACTACTGTTGTAGCGTGGCCGAATTTTATTAGAAATTGTCATGTTTACAAATAACCTGGTTACACCAGCCTAGCTATTAATCAGATAACTCCTCACTGGTTAGGATTTCATGCATACCTTTAAGCCAGCAATGAGAAGCCTGTCATGAGCAAGGTACCCTGCTCATGACAGGCTTTTGTTTCCTGTACCCGGCCGGACTAAAAGAAAGTGCACACTGAGTGTGCACTTCCTGTTAGTCTGGCCGGGTATAGGAGACAGATGTTAGTCCGGCCGGGTATAGGAGATAGATGCTCCCTGCACCAGCGGACCATACAGAGCTCGATCACGCTACAGTGAGGGAGTGATAGGAGGGAGCGCTGCTCTCCTGTAAGCCCCTCTCCTCATGCTGCGCCCGGCGGAGCACCCGCATGGACGCACCAGCCCGGGCAAAGCTGCAGCCGCCTGAGGCTCTCTGCAGAGCGCTCGGGCGGCTGCAGCATGAGGGGGGGCGGTGCTCCTGGCGGCGCCCCTTCCAAAGGGGCGCCCTAGGCGGCTGCCTAGTCCACCTAACAGGTAGCGCCGGCCCTGTGTGTGACAGGGTGTGTGGGAAGGGGGAGGAGGAGTGGGGATAAGGGGGGCGGGAAGGAGTGGGGTAAAGGGGGGGCGGGAAGGGGGTGCACTGTGAGGATTTTTCGCACAGGGCACCCAAAGTCCTAAGGCCGGCCCTGTGCGCTTAAGCGCCTGCTTCTTGAGGGCCGTCAAAGGGGAGTAGCATAGATCCAGCCTGGGCATTGGCGCTGGGATAAAGTAAGTAAATAAAAGGTTTCTATCCCTTTATTTACCAGGAAGGGGGGGTGTGAGGGAGTGGGGGGGGCAGGGGGAGCGATACTGCCAGGAATACAACTTTGTATTCCTGGCATTATTGTATTCCTTTAACTCCTAAATGGCAGATAATTGTGCACTGAGATTGCAGAGGTATGGACTGGCCATCGGGCACAATGGGCAAATGCGATGGCCATGGGCTGAGGCCGACAGGAGAGATCAAGAGATCTCCCCTGCCGGCCCATGCAGAGCCGGCGCTTTCTGAGCGCTGGCCCTGCTGTGTACCTGCATGGGCCGGTCGGGAGATCAAAGATCTCCCTGACCAGCCCACAGGCACTGACATGCAGCCACCAGCTGGGGAGGGAGGGAGACAGGTGAGAACCCGTAGGAGCTCTATTTTGCTGCTCTGCCATTTTCCTCTAGCGAGATTTGGAGCATTGCGCGGTTACTATGGCAACGCTCCGACCACGCGGCTAGAGTTCACTTACCACTAGCACCACCAGGAATGGCAGCACGGTGCCTCCTGCCAGGCAAAAGGCAAGAAGGGAGTGGGAATATAATGCTTGTTTTATTTTTTTAATTTAAAATGAATAAATTCTTATATAGTGCCATTAATCTGCCTCTTCCCAACACACAATCCCTCCTAACATATACACACACACATCACCCTTACACACATCATCCTAACACACACACACAACTCCCTCTCACACACACACACACACAGACATACATCACCATCACACAGAGCATCCTCACACACACACAGCACCCTTATACAAAGCACTCTCATGCACACAGCACCCTCATGCACATTTATTCACTAAAACTCTGAATTTATTCAATAATCCTGCCCATCTGCATCTGCTACTGCACAGATCAGCCATTATTGCGTTTGCCAGGTCCACAATGATTTTCACAACAAATACGTCTTGGAAATGGATTGATACTGTTATTTCCTCTCCACCTACTGTTTCAGTATGTCAATCATGTCTTGTTAGAAGTAAGTGTTTGTCTTGTTTACCTATTGTACAGTGCTGTGGAATATGTTGGTGATATATAAATAATAGTAATAGTCAGCAGCACCTTTCATAAAAAGTATTCGCTACAAGTATATAGAATTCAGGTATTGCATAATCAGTAAGGTATGATAAAGTGGAAATGTCACTTCTAGAAAATTGACAGTTCCTTGTTCCTTCATCCTGTCAAATGCCGCGCATGCGCATTAGACCTCCCCGTAGGAAAGCATTGAAAAATGTTTACATTGTGTCGAGGTACCCATGATACTTGAGAAGGTCGCATGCTCTGGCATCTTTTGGATAAATGCAGCAAATGCGCATTCACCCCCAGAATTTACTCCTACAGCTCCGGAACTGTAAGAGCTAACTTATTTTAAAGTATGTAGCCAAAAATAAACTAAACTTTAGAAAATGTGAACATTATTTTAGCTATTAGAAAGTTTTAATGTTAAGCTAAACTTGAGTGATTGTCCATCTTTAAACATGGATGCAATTAAACTAATTTCCTCTTACAGCATATGAATTCCACATACTGCTGGGAAGCACTCTTCTTGCATTTCCCAATCAGCATGAAGAATGTTTACAGGAATACATTGCAGACCAGCAATATTTACATATATTAGTATCACACACCTACAAACATACATTTTGCATGTAAATCATGAAACAGTGTTTTCTGATGCTCTCAGCCTGCTGTATGTGACATTGATTAACCACACACTATAGGGGGCCCCCATTGCTGTGTTTAAGGGTCCCCTATGGTGCTCTATGTGACATCCATTAGCCACACACAGTTAGGGACCCCCACCCCTGTGTTTTTAGGGCCCCCCCATGCCGGGCAGCCTCTCTCCCCGATGCGCATGTCGCTGACACATGACGCTGGGGATGGGAGGGCTCAACGTGACCTGGGCTGTCTGAGCTGGAGATTGGCGCCAAGCGTGGGCTCCTGGGGGCCACTGGCGGGACAGCAGCAAGGCTCAGCCTGAACCCCCGGCCATGGTAAGAATTGGGGGCTAAGGAGTGCAATGGCAGCGATCCTGCTTTACTTTCCATCCTAACAGAGCCATGCTGGGCATGCTTTACACTGGGCATGGAGCTGGGCACAGGGGGGCATCCATCCATCCATCCAAGCAGAGGATACTGTAACCCCCTTCACTGCTGGGTGGGATTATCTGAGACACATTGTATCAGGGTCTTATACTGTACCAGGAGTTGCCCTACACGTGGGTATACAGGGCCCTGCCTTGGACACTGTGGTGGGTGGGGGGTATTAATCTAAACCCAGAAACCCACCATGCTGGAAAAAAAAAAAACAACACACACCATGATATGGTATGTTTACCTATACTTAGTAGTGGAGGAGTGATGGCATGTTATGGTATATTTTTAACTATAATTATGAATGGAGGAATGATTGCTGCATACTGTGTGACTCATTTTAAAATAATGCCACAATTACCCATATCTGGATGCAGAGGACCAGCACCTAGGGTAGAAGGGGGTGGATGCCAACCCCCCCTCCCTGGCATCCACCCCTTGTACCCTAGGTTCAGTCCAGGCCTGTGTACAGGAACAGAGGAGTTAATTTATTTTGTCACACATTACCATATCATTATGCTTGCTTGCTGAATTACCCCACACTCTCTCCTGGATCATCAATATTTACCTGCAGACAGTTTAGCAATGTAAATTATAGTTTTACTTGAGTGCTAGCTCCTGGGCTTCAGTGGGGATGTATGAAAATAAAATTGTAAGATTTTACTCCCTGTTAAGTAGGATGTGTATACCCACAAACACCTGCTTAATACGAACAGGAAACCTTACATAAAACGATGTCATATACTCTTTTATTGTCAGTTTTGTAGCTGTAATCTGCACATCACAACATGTTAAAGATGTACTGTTTTGTGTGTTTTTTTTTTTTTTTCTCCCCTTTTGTGAGATGACTGTTGCAGAACAAAGCCTTGGCTCACGTTTTCAAGCCAGATGAATATAAAACACACACTTAACTGAAACAGTGTGTTAAAGTCAATTTCTTAGCGTGTAAAATTAAATAAGGGCTAACTTGTATATTTATTTCTTTATACATTTGTTTAAATGAGTATATCAGTAGCATTAGTCCTCAGGCCCAGTTGACGAGCTGTTTGCCCCCAAATAATAATAGGGGGGTCCCTGCATATTGGGCCACTGCAACTTAAGTGCGGCAATGTCCGTTAACCTGCTTTTTAAAAATTGTGCTACTTTCATTGCTCACAGACAGGCAGCTGGGGTTTGGGCATGACATGTGAGCAATGTAAACAGAACTTTTTTTTTTCTCCTTTCAAAAAACTTTATTATCAGAACATTTGCAGTTTTGTTTACAAGATGTCATGGTATGTCTCACAGTAAGGCAGAACAATGATCGAGTGTAACAGTACATGTATAAATTGATGGCTGGTTTCTCTCTACTAATCACGAGGAACAACACGTAATCTAACAATTTTACATATAAAAGAGCACACCTTTCACATACAGTGTATTTGTAAAGGACTATCTGTTCAATTAAATATAAAAAAATAAAATGACATTTTCAGCGATATATGTGTACAATACTAGTGCAGCTAAATCAGAATATGCTAAAATAAATTTGATGGCATATGCCTTCAATTTGGGAATTGCCTTTTATGACTAGTGTGGTCATCTATTTCTGATGGATACATTCGTTTTCCATAAAGTACATTTCTGTTTAAAACGCAAAGTGATTTGAAGTGGTCATGGTGCCTGGAGTCTCTATGGGCAGTGTTTAAGTTTGAAACGTTGCAAATACAAAATTAAAGTCCTTTGCTTCTGGAGGTGTAACATAACCTCTGGCATCGGCATTAGCTGGCCTGGAACATGTGCTTTAGGCTGGCTAATGTTACATTGGTGCATACTGGGCACCTGTCATGGGCGTGCATTACATACTAGCAACAGTTGACTTATGGTGCCATGGCCATTGCCTCTGTCCCTGCCAAGTCACCCCCCCTCTGCCCCAGAGAAGTCCCTCCCCTGCAGTAAGGGTAAAGTGATGTCACTGGAGTAGGATCAAGTTGCAGGACAACAGGGGAAGGGGGGCATGCTAGTAGGGGTACTCAAGCCCAAAATAGTGTTTTTAGTTGGAGTAACCCATTAAAGGTTTTGTGCATCCCTTGGTTCTGGGCACTGGCAAAACTTTGTGGCATCGTAGCTCCATTCCACAAAGCAAACAGATTATTTACTAAACTAAGAATTGCAAGTGATTCAAAATAAATGGTGCTATAATGCTATGAGCACTATACACATCCTTTTTGTGTGTGACTTTGACACTTATAACCTGCCCCTCTTTACACACATTCATAATGCCGAAAAGTGCACTTCTACCTTATCGAGTGCAATTCTGTCCACGATAGGCTGTCTGCCATGGGAAACCCCTATGTTGTATCATTGAAATTTTTTTTATATATTCTCTAGGTGGAAAATTATATTTTCGATTATTCACATTTAGTATTTTGCATATGTACTGCTAATTCATTAACTTGTCTTCTAATCTCCCGTATTAATTTCTAGGATATTCGTAAATTTTTTGGGGTTACCCCAGTTCCAAAAAAACCTAACTCTGGAAGTACTGATAAAGAGAAAGCAAAGAGTGTTGCTGCGCAAAAGAAATCAAAGGATAATAAAGTAAGTCATTTTCTCCCTTTTATTTTTTTTTTAATATATGTTTTAGTCTTGACAAACATTGACTCTTTAAGGACACATGACGGAAGTTGTCAGTCATGCTGGCCTTTTACTTCTGAAGCTGTGTCCTCAATGGGATAAAGTGGCACTGTCACTCTGCATTTAGTTTGTTAAAAGTTCCATCTTAAAGGATGACTCCAAACACCGTAACCACTTAATTGATTTGAAGTGGTCATGCAGCCTGGAGTCTTTTTTCCTTTTATTCGCATGTATGTAGCTCCAGTATATAGCGCTTAACAATTATACAATGGGGTTATTTGTATCAAGTCATTGACATACAAAATATAACAGAGCGAAGAGGTTAAGTGGCTCAAACAAACTTACAATCTATGAGGTGTGCAGTGATTTGCTTTGAAACACTGCACATACAGAGTTTAATCCCTCTGCGACCTGGGGGGTGTCATTAGTCAGCCCAGAAATAGAGTTTCAGGCTGGCTTATGTCAATGTAGGGCTTTTTCCTATGCACAGAACTGCATTCATTGGCTGAGAGTGGTCAGCTGACTTCTGGCCAATGAATGACCTGCTGGATCCACTTCTGCAGAAGCCAGAAGTCCTCACTGGCCACAAGAGGACTATTGTCATCTGTCAGGGTCCCAGGGAAGAGGGCAAATGGTTGTAGAGTACTCATGTCATTACAACCACCACAGCTGGCTGTCATGCTGAGTATACTTGGAGTAGCCCTTTAAAGAAACACTATAGCTGTAGGAATACAACATGTCCCATCCCCCTGAGTGCATGCAAAAAGATAGTCTCACCTACCTGTCTTACCTCGCTGCACTGTTCTATCCACAGGTGCCCCTTCTCTTTGGCCAAGATTATCAGCCTTGATGAACTCAGTCAATCCAATGCTTCTTCTAAGGAAAGCATTGAGAGGCTAGAGCGCATGATCGACAAATCTCTGCGTTGTGCCAATCAAGTGCTACTCTACGAGCAGCATTTGATTGAAAACAAAGTTTGTGATGTGTTAACTCTGTAGTGGAAGCATTGCAGTGTATTCAAAACTGCAATGATTTACATTGGAGGGTTAAAGCTACAGGGCCACTGCACCCAGATAACTTCATTGGCACAAAATGGGTTTGGTGCCTTTCATGATTATTTAAGAAATGGTAGGGGTGAGTTAAGTAGAGTAGGGGTGCTCAACAATGAGAACACAGACTCTGCTTACTTTTTTTTTTTTTTTTTAATTTTATTAGTAATTCAGTGTTAGGAACTACATGTGTGGTAAATAATTGGAAGTAGTGCTCCAGATAACATCAGTAATTATTGTTCTCAATTTTAACTTGGAGCTCTTCATTCTTGAAAACATCTGTTCACAAAAATACATGCTTCCGAAGAGCAAGAAGATTCTCGACACCTGCATTCTTAAATTGGCAAATGTTCCCCTTTCTCCATACTTTTGGTAAAATATTAAGAGACACTTCATTAAATTTTATCATTAGGTCTGAGTCACATTGAATTTCATTAATTTCCATTTGCATGTCCTCTGGAGCCTCCATTACACTCAAAGAGCAGGTGTTAGTTAATAGTGTTCAGGAGCAAAATCTGCATACTTAAGAAATTTAATTAATTCAGGTCTTGAAGTTGGCACTTACAGAGTTCTAATTTAATCTGAAAAGTTGTTTTTGGTCTCATTGAAAGGTCTGGTGGACCACAATTGGTCTTTGGTGCGTGTGTTTATCACCCTAGATGTAGAGCATGATCTTTGGTGATGGGTGAAGCTTAAAGGGACACTCCAGGCACCAAAGCTACTTCATCTAAATTAAGTTATTGTGCCAGGAGGCACTTTTACCTCAAGTGGTTAAACCGTTCTCATGTTTAAACCGTTTAACCCCAATGTTGCCCCCAGCGGTGATGTCCACTCCCCAGTGGTGACATCCAGTTTCTGAATTTTCAGATTCGGGAAGTGTGGAGTGCCCGAGGGCAAGGGTGCCGCTGATTGGTTAAAAGCAGTCCGCTGATGCTCTCAGCCAATCGGTGGCTCCCCATTTCCTAAACTGGCTTGAGAAAGGTTAATTGGTCTGAGCTGAAGACTGGTATGGAGCTGCAGAGCCAAGAGCAAAAATTGTGCAGTTAGCAGGTCACAATGTGCACACACCTCTTATACAGATAACAGGCACGCTAGATTCACATGTCAGAGAGCAGTGTGAGAAGTATATATTATATAACACAACTTAAATTTGAAAGGCCATTGCTTCTATCCATGCCTTAAAAGTTACTTGCTACTGCAAGCATGAAGGGTCCTTTGCACACTTGCTAGGGGTGCATTTGTACTCACCGGGGATACACATTTACTTGCCAATGGCAAGTAGATATCCATCTAGCTCTCCCCCTCTTGTTTAAGAGTCAAGCCTGAAATGGAGTACTCTGTATTCTTTAGGCTGCACTTATTTATATGGAAAGTATATTATTACACACAATTGTGCTCTCCTTCTCATCGCTTGCACTAAATATTGCAATGGTGGAGGTTGAGGTGTCTGCATTCCTCTGTGCTGTTAGGTTGGGCAGCAAGCTTTGGAGAGGTGTATGAAGTCACAGGTTTCAGACTCATTTAGGGTGAGGCTGTTTTCTGTCTAGGTAATATAAAGCTATATGCATGTTTTATATAGAATATTGATGGCCTTAACACTCCGCATCGGTTTAGAAAAACACCCCTATGAATCAGATCAAAAACTAGTTTTGTATTAACTCTTGTTTCCTCTTACTCTATTTTAGGTAAAGAGTCCAAATGATGACTTAAAAGGGAAGAATGTCGGCAAGAAAAGGAGAGTGATATTTGACTCTGGTAAGATTACTGGAGTGATCCAATTTAACTGTTTGAACACAACGAGCTTTAATGTGAAAATCACACTTGGTGAAAAAGTGTGTGTTACATACATAGTACAGATTAAGTTTCACTAATTAGTTTAGTTTGGCCATCCAAGTACCTGTGTCCTGTACCTACTGGACAGGTGAATGCTACACAAGTAGTTACATAGCCTCACAGGCTCCTTCCGTGCATACTATGAAGGGTCAGAAGCTGTAATCTTGTACAAGCACAGTGAGGAGGCTTCAGGAATAAATGTTGATGAAGATCTGTTATCAGGTTAGGCAGCAGTTTCATTCTTCTGAATGAAATATCTGCCAAGCTTGTCAGTGCTAAACTGGGGTTTACAGCATATGCTCTGCATCCATTAAAAGCCAATCCCGCCAATCAGTTGCAATTGGAATAATGAAGTACAATGTTCTGGTAGAATTAGTTCTCTTCTGTACCCTCTGGTAAAAGTCTCCAGTGGCCAGTACTATGAGAGAGTGCAATGCTGGATTAGATTTAGAGATTATAATAAATAAAAACAAAGTGCCATTGAAAGTTAAGAGATGTCACAAGTCATTTGAAATCTTTATTTGTAAGATCTAAATAATAAATGCAATAAGGAAGTGTAAAACACATTTGAACCAGTTATGCATAATGCACACGCTGTATTAAAGTAAGTGAGCCTGCTTTATTTATGGTTAGCTGTTAAATATTGTTACTTGAAATGGTTTTGTCTGACTTCTTCACCCAATAATTTCCTCTCCAGATTCTGAAGAAGACACACCGCCAGTTCAGAAAACCAAAAAGTCACGTGAGAAGTCACCATCACCTGTACAGGCCAAAAAAATCATTAAACCGGACCCGGTCTGCTATGTTTCTGAAAGTGGTAAGTTAAATAATAAAACTTGTATTGTGATCCATACCAACCAATACCCCTTTCATCTCTTCATTTAGGTTTTTTTTAATTGTACCAATTTTTTTGTTTTTATATATCATTTTCCCCCTTCCTTCTCTTGGGTAGCCTTAAAAGAACACTTTGTTAGGAATACAAACATGTAATGCTAACACTATAGTGCTGGACCACCATTATAGGTCCCTGGCCCTGCTCAGAATGGACTAAAAAGATTTTTAACTTACCTTTTCTCCATGGTAGCGCTCCATGGCATCATTCTTGACGATTTCAGCCAATCCAATGCTTTCCCATAGGAAGGCATTGGGAGGCTATTGCATATGCATTCTGCAAAACGCCGCGTTGCGCCATGCAGTTCGTGGAGACGCTGAATGTAGGTACTGCACACACTGCAGCATTCAAATAGGAAGCACCTCTAGTGGCCGCGTGAGTGACTGGACATAGAGGTGTTACTAGGCAGCAATGTAGCGTTTACATTGCTGAGCCAGCTGGGACATGCTGTAGACACCAGAACCACTAAATTAAGCTGTAGTGGTTCTGGTGACTACAGTGTCCCTTCAGAGTCGATAGTCTGTGTAACACTTTGAACAGAAACAGTATGTTTTCCTGGCACTATAGTGGTCCTTTAATCACTGGTGGTAAATTGGTAAAATCTTTGGGGAGGAATTCACTATGTGGCTATAGCTGTTGGCATTGAGCATGTCATGTGATGTGCAGATAGCCAACTTATATTTTTGGATAACATTTATAAAACCATAAAAAAAATATATAATTACATTGCTAAACACAAATACACACACCAGTCAAGCCATAAGACTTGCTTTTACCACAGAAATCTCACTTTAACAGTGTACTCACTATTGCAAGGCATTCTGGGTAGGATTATGCAAATGAGCTCAACAAAGAACTGAATTTTTGCCTCATAATTCCACTTTATACATGGATTCCTTGGGGTATGTGTCTGCTGTATACAACAGCTTTGAAACACAACAAAACAGCTGTCCATGAGTGGTTCACTTGCTTTGCTCCTCTTCCCGAGTTGTTTCAAAGCTGTTGTATGCAGCAGACACATACTCCAAGGAATCCATGTATAAAGTGGAATTATGAGGCAAAAATGTGGTTCTTTGTTGAGCTCATTTGCATACGCCTTTGCAGTAGTGAGAGCACTGTTAAAGTGAGATTTTAATGGTAAAAGCAAGTCTTATGGCTTGATTGGTGTGTGCATTTGTGTTTAGCAATGTATTTTTTTTAATTTATTTTTTTACATTCTTTATTTTTGTTGTGCTTCGAATGAATACAGGTATGCTCACAACATTAGAAAGCTGTCTTAGTGTGATACACGATAAAAAGAACATTGGTATGACATTTGCAGAAACAGCACAATTTTAGAGACTAGAAAACAAGCTAGGTTTAAGCTAGGCAGTTATGTCTATGATGGTAAACATTAACACTATATAGTCTAATAAAGCATAGCAGGACATTCGTTTTAAACTTACAACAAGTACTTTTAGGTATGCACATATGAGGTATGAGAGTCTGCTAAATAGTAAGCTTGGGTGTCGGAGCAGGCTCGGCATGTTAAGATTAGTGTCGCCAAGGTGGACCGCATAGGGTGTTAGTTGGTTAAGCAGGGTAGTGCTTCCTAGCTACTGTGTGGGCTTAGTTGAGCTAGCGTTTGGTGTTAGGTAGCTGGTGCGTGAGTCCTCAAATGTGTGGTAATTAATGCCACAGAGTGGGGCAAGATTAAAAGAAACTATGAATACAAAAAAAAAAAGCTAAACTTGGTGCTCAGAACGGAAAGTGGTCAAAAAGGGGGTGTACAGCCTGCCCCGAGGTATAATTAAATACTGGGACTCCACAAAGCCACCCCACCAGCCCCATACTCTGATACAGTCCAGCACTTGTTCCTCGCTGGTCTGTTCGCTTCCCGCGGTTTGGATGGAATCTTGGGACCCTTCTGCCTGTAGCTGGCGTTGTGGCCGAGCATAGAGTACCCGGATTTGTGAGCACTACCTGTGGAAATGTCCCTGTGTGGACTGCGTTCTACGTGGGTGTTGGCAGATCTTGGAGTGGTGTCTGTGGAGTCAAGGTGCCATCTTCCTCCTCCCACCCCTCCATTGAGCCAGCTGCACTGGGGCTTTGCTGATCAGTGCCGGCCGTGTTTCAGAGGTCTGACTTGCCGCGGTCTGTGGAGGTAAGTCTCGTTTCGATCGCCTCTTGATGGCAGCTCGTAGTTGAGACCACAGGAGTTGAAAAGCTCTCTCAATGCGCTCCTCAAAGTGGGCTCATAGTGTATTTAAGGCCGTAGGCCTGTATTTGTGGCAGGAGTTAGCGTTCCTATAAAATGCTACGCCTCTCTCCTTACCTTTGCCGTGTCGTACGCTGTTCCTGACAGCACGCTTTTGGTCCCGTCGTTCCTTTGCTGCCTTGCCGCCAAGCAGCACCGTCGTGAAAATCAAAACTACCGAACACCAAGTAATTGGCGGGAATAGCCGCGTCCGGGCTATTCCCGCCGTTCGACATTTCTTATTCTCCACTTACATGCTTTACAAACATGCGAACATACACATTTCAGCAGACTATTTCATTGTATTTTTTTTTTTTTATTCATTTAAGTTTGGCTAGTCCTGCCATTCGGCAAACTATTTCGTTGGATTATTCGTTTTAATTATGTTACAATTTGTGGCAATGAATCAGCCCTCAGGAAATGTGTATATATATTTTATATGATGGAAAATAAATAAATGACTAACCGAGGTAAATACAAGTAATCTAGAATTCTACTTGAAGTTGCACCCATCTCCTCACTTGGTAGAATACTTATTACTTGGGTTCTCGGAATGTTTTCACACGGGGTTGGTGTCACTCCCCGCAAGCACATTAGAATGTCCCAACCTCCTTTCAGCTAGGAACGATCCACAAACAGTAGACAAACTAATTAGTAAAGAAATCAAAAAATATTAGACATGTTTGTTGAGACTCTCTGTTGGCTCCTCCTCAGTATCGCTAGGTGCCCCACGGTGATACATTATTTAGACGACTTCTTGTTGGTAGAATGTAACAACTGCACTCCGATCAGTCTAAAGAGCACTTTAGCACTAATTACAACATTAGGCGTCCCTCTATCACTGGACAAAACTGAACCCACCACCAGACTCGACTTCCTAGGCATCACTCTGGATTCTGACACAATGCAGTCAAGCCTCCCCGAGGACAAGCTCGGGCGCATACGCGAAGAGATAGTCAGGTTCCTTCAACAGGGTACTTACACTTGTAAAGACCTACAATCTTTGTTAGGTTCTATGAACTTCGCGATGCCCATAATTCCCCAGGGTAGATCGTTTATTTCCAGGTTATTGTGTTTATTACCAGGTTTGCCAGATAATCATATTGATCACTTAGATCCCCCGGCAATGGCAGATCTAGCCATGAGGAAGGAGTTCTTAGAACATTGGAATGAGTTCTCTATGTTCGTCCCTCCAATATCTGACCAATCCCCCGTTTTTTGGACAGACGCAGCCGCCAATACAGGCTTTGCAGCAATATACAAAAACTCTTGGTTAAGAGATTCCTGGCTGGAGGAGACTCTCGATTTACCCTCCTTTTGCGAAACATCGGCATTATTTGAAATTTACCCGATAGTGGCGACTGCCTTTACATGGGAAAAAACCTGGTCAGGTATGGCTAAGTGTTACACGGATAACATGGCAGCCTGCGACATAATCAATAAGGGCCATTCATCTTCATTGGTCATTATGAAGTTAGTTCGCAGACTGACATGGTTAGCAGCCACCTTTCAATTCTTTCTATATTGCGAACACATCCCAGGCTACTCTAACTCCGCTGCTGACCCTTTGTCCCGTTGTAAATTACAGGAATTCTTCAGCCTCCACCCAACTACCGACAAATACCCAACCCAAACCCTGGATTTCGACAAGTTTAATCCTGGATTAGCCCAGGTTTTGGCACACAGTTACGAATTGTAGCCTTATCCGCGAATACTAAAAGAACATACGACAGAGCCATGACCGTCTTCCAAAGGTTCTCAGTAGAATTCGACTTACACGACCGTTTGAACCTTGCACAAACCTAGTTATAAAAACCTCTATGTATATAGCATTTTATGGGTTCCTGAGGCCTAGAGAATTCACGATTGCAACACAATCAGACAATCAATTATGTCTCATCAAATAGTATTTAAAAAAGGTAAATGACCATTACATCCTATCACTCCGACAGTCAAAGACCAGACAAACAGGCCATCCAGTTGAAATATCCTTCTACCCGACTGGAAATAACTGGTGCCCGGTTAAAGTCTTAGACATTTACTTAGCACAAATCAAAGATAAT